CGAGGGGCAGGGCTGGGAAAAGCCGTGGGCGGGAGGCCGCGGGGTCCCAGGGGAGGGCGGAGGAGGCTGGGGGACCGGATGCCAGGGTCCTGCAGACGGCTCCCTCCCCCCGCCCAGGGCTGCGAGTTGGGGCGCTGGCCCTGAGCCCTCGACCCCCCTCCCCCCCTCCAGCCAGTCCCTCCGCGATCCGCTTACTGTCCCCACAGCCGCGGCCCGGGTCCCCAACGCCTTCCCACACCCCTCCAGACCCAAACTCCCGCCGGCGCCTCCGCTCGCCCCCCGCCGGCACGCCCCCTCATTGTTCAGCGGCTGCGGCGCCGCCCCCTCCCCCAGCCCGTCGGGGCCCCTCGCCTCCCCCCTCACCTCCCAGGGAGTCTCCAGCCCCGAACCGAGGCTGCTCGATTCTTATTCGACCCTAGCACGGTCCCCGGGGAGGCGCACAGCCGGACTCCTGGGTCTCTGCAAGCCAGGGGCGTGAACTTGGGGTTCGCAGGCTCCGGGAATCAGAATCCGGGGTCTCTCGGAGAATGGGATGCAGCGGTCCGAATTTCTTGGTCCTCTAAATGAGGATGCTGGGAGTCCCGACTCCTGGGTCTCAGATGGGGCGCTGGGGACCCAAACTCCTGAATCTTCTAGATATGGCCGTGGGGCGACAGGATTCCTGAGTTCCCCTAACTCTTGGAGCAGAGATTAAACCATCTTCAGGCGGGAGCGCAGGGGAGTCCCAAATTCCTGGGTCCCCTTGAAGTAGTGGGCGTTTCAGCCCCAAACAGAACTGGCTGGGGCGCTAGGAGTCCGTATGCCGAGTTCGGATATCTGGGCTCGGATATCTGGGAACCCTTGGAGGTAAATCACCGGTCTGGGATCCCAAGTTCTTTAAACCCGGGTGCAGGAAGCTCGGCCTCCAGGATCGCTCGGACTCCCGGCTCCTCCAGGAGGGGGCGCTGGGCACCTGGATATCTGCGTTCCTTTAGCCTGCGCTTTGGGGTCTCTCAGGGCGCGGTGCAGAGACTCGCGACTCCGGAGTCCACGACTTTGGACCCCTCAGGCTCTGGGATGGGTATCACGGGGCTCTGACGGCGGCGGCGCCACATCTGTGGCGGGAGAGTCCGGTCCCAGCTGTGAGGCGGGGGGCGGTCGCCTGGGGCTTCCCCCTCCCCCCAGTCGCCCGGGCTCATATCCTGTTCCCGCCCGCGGGGGGGAGGGGCTGCCTTCCGGCCAGGCAGCCGGTAAAGGGTTAAGACCCCTCCCCCCGCATTCTGAATATTCATGAGAAGGCGAGCCGCGGGCAGGCTACACCCCCACATTCCAAACGCCTCTCAGACTTTTCCCTTTTACAGCAAGGGCCTTCGGGGCGTGAGAATCCGGAACTGGCAGCGCACTTTCTCCCATTGGTCAGCCAAAACACTCTTATTTGCATATGCAGCAAAAGGCGGAGCTGTCCGGCGAGGTCACGTGGCCTAGAACGACTGAAGGACTTCGCGACGGGAGGGTGCGGCCGGAGCTCCAGTGGCGCAATCGGTTAGCGCGCGGTACTTATACGACAGTGCGAGCGGAGCGATGCCGAGGTTGTGAGTTCGATCCTCACCTGGAGCATCTTTTTCCTCTTATCCTCTTTTTATAAATTTATGTATCTTAGAAACCGACCAAAACATCTACATCATCACCTAGAGAAATGAACGTTTCGATCTTCGGAGTTTTCGGGCTGGAACTCCTGGAACTCTGACAACCGCCCTGCAGAGCGTTCTGTATTGTGGGGGGGTGCCGTTTCCACCCGGGCCGCCAGAGGGTGGTGTCGCCTCTTAAATGCCCGAGCGTTTAATTGGGTCTGCAAATCTCAGTTTTAAGACTTCTGTAGATGTGCCGGGTCCTCTGCAAACTGTATGGCACTGCCTCTTTCTCCATCTTTCCCGTGTTGGGTTCCCCCCCCCAGATATAATTGTCATATAACACCGTATTAGTCAGTCCAGGGTATACAACATGATTCAATATATGTGTAAATTGTGAAATGATTACTAGAAGTTCAGTTACCATCAATCACATCACATAGTTGCTATTTTTTTCCTCCCGCGTTTTGGAGTTTACTCTCTCTTTTCCTCCCTTTTTCTGAACTGATTTGTTTCTTTCAACAAATGCTGAACATCCACTCTGTGACTGACTCCTGTTTAGGATTTAGGCATGAGTGATGCAGCAATGACAAGACAAAGTCCCTGCCACTGAGGATTTCACATTCCAGTGGGAGAGGCAGGTTTCTATAAGCATGAAAACTACATTTTATATGCTAGGTGATGGTGGTGAATGTCATGGAAGAAGTAGAGCAAAGTAGGAAGGATGAGGGTGTCAGAGCTTCAGTGTGGGTTGTAATAGTAATAGTCAAACACCATCTCACTGAGGAGACATCTGAGCAGAGACCTATAGGAGGGGAGTAAGCCATGGCAATACCTGGGGGAATAGGACAGGCAGCGGTAGCAGCCAGTGCAAAGGCCCTGTGGCTGAAGCAGCTGACCTGGTATATTGGTGAATAGCTAGAAAGCCAGTGTGAGTAGCGCAACAGTGGCCAAAGACTCAGGCCATGTAGGCTGGTGAAGGACTTAGGACTTTGCCTTTTATGTGATCTGACTCTGACTCAGGTGTCCGGACAGGTTCCCTGGGGTTGTCTTGTTGGGGAGTGGGGAGAGACTGAGGGTACCTCCTGAGCCAGTGAAACCAGGAAGGGGCTGCTAGGAAGCTTCAGGTGCAAGATGATGCTGGGTAGGACCAGAGTGGGAGCCACAGGAGACAGGTAGATCTATGTAGAAGGTATCAGACAGAATTGCTGCTGGACTGGGGTGTGGGTTTGACAAAGAGTAGTCAAGGGGACTCCCAGGTGTTTGGCACTGGTAGCTAGTGGTAGGGGTCATTTTCTCAAATGAGGTTTTTGTTTTAGGAAGGGGCAGTAAATCTGTTTTTGCTAAGGGAAGGGCCAGAGATGTCAGTTTCTTGTTCTTTCAGTGTCTGTAAACTGTCTCTGCTTGGCTTGTTCTTGCTCTCTACCTCCCTAATGTCTTTGGGTCTCCGTGTTTTCTTTCATTCCAACCCTTTCTCCTAAGTCTGGAGATCTGAGCCCTTTCCCAAAAATGAGGGGAGTGCAGTTTCTGGGAAGAGGAGATCAATGGTCAGGGCCTGCCAGTGGGCAAGGAGAGAGAGCCAAAGAAGAGAGGGCAAGGAGGCAGGGGAGGAAGGGAGGGGAGAAGGCAGAGGGGAAGGGGCTGGAGAGGGTGAGGGAGAACACCAGCAGGAGGGAGCAGAAGGGTGGGGAGGAGAGGTGGAACCCAGGAGACAGTGAGTGAGAGCCCGGGAGGAAAAGGGTGGGGAGGGCGGGGGGGGGGGGGGAGGGAGGGGGGGGGGGGAACTGAAGGAAAGAAAGGAGGGGGTGAACACAGCGGGGTGGGGGCTGGAAGGGGAACACATTAAAAAGGGGAATGGGAGAGGACTACTGGGGGAGGAGAAGAGTTGGGGAGGGTGAAGGGAAGGGCGGCGCAGGAGGAACTGACAGGGGGGAGGGTGGGGAGAGGAGAGGGAAGTGGGGGAGGGGAGAGGAAAGGGAAGGGGGGAAGGGGTTGAGGGGGGCGGCGGCGGCGGCGGAAGGGGGGCGGAGCCCCGGCGCTGACGCGGGGCGGCTTCCGGGCGCGGGGCGGCCGGCTCCCCCGCCCCAGGGTGGTTCCCGCAGCCTGTTGCCTTGTATGGTCCGAGGACGCCGCTGTCCCCGGGGCCCCGCCCGACGCGGCCGCGACCCACACTCGGGCCTGGCGAGCCCGAGCCCCCACCCTGGAGCGCGAGCCCTTGATCTTCCAAGGCTCCCCAAATGCCCAACTTCTCGAGTCCCGACGGGCCAGGACTCTGCAATTCCGAGGTTCTGGGGGCCCGAAAAGCCAGAATGCTGCGTTTTGCGGTCCCTGCAAGTTTTCGGAGACACGAGGGGGTTAGAATTCTGAGTCGCCGAGACTACCTTTGAGATTCTGTCTGGAATCCTGGGGCTCTCACGCTGCCTTCCCCGGGGTTAAGAAAGCCTGAGTTCTCCCGGGCTCTCACGTCCTGGAACGCCGGGTGGTGGGACCCCGGGACGCCCCGACTTTCGGGATGCCCCCTCCCCCACCCGCCGCGCCGCCCCCGTCCGTCCTGGGCTCGCGCGCCGGCACATTCCGTCCTCTCCGCTCCGCCCCGCCCTCCTCCCTCGGCCCCCTGGGGACGGAAACATGCCGTCCCCGCCCGCGCCCGGCCGCGAGCTGGGTCAAGGAGCCTGGCTGGACGGGAGCACCTGCGCCCCCACGCCCCGGGAACTGGCTCTCCGAGTTCCTAGGGTGACCTCACCTGGGCCCCGCCCTCTCAGGTGAACGGCCGGGCCAGGTGACGTCACTTCCTGCCAGGTAAGCGCCGCGGGCGGCTCCGTCTGCGAGGGTTCGAGGGGGCGATCGGTCGACCGTACCTATCCCGGTTCTGAAAAAAGCCCAGGCCACCCTCCCCGCTCCTTTTTACGGCTTCTAGACCGCAGAAAATCCAGGATTCCAGTTTACACGCAGATACCTTTTATTTAAAAATTCCAAAAAACACAAAAATAAACTTTTAACAATATATTAATATATTATTATAGTATACTTATAACAATAATTATTCCATCGTTTCCAATATTACAAAAAGGAAGAAAAATACAAGGGAAGCAGACGACCCAATATATATAAATACTATAAAATCTCTTAGAATAAATAAAGTCATAAATAAAAGGCCCAGTGGCTGGGGGTGTGTGTGTGGGGGGGGTGTTTGGCAATGGCTTTGGCTACTTGCTTTTGGAGGGAAATTTGAGCACCAGGATTCCCCCTCAGGGGGAGGCTCCAGTCACCACCAGATACTGGAACCTCAGGGTCTAGGAGAAATTGGAAGGGGGCAGTGGGAGCCTATTATTCACAGCATTGGGAAAGGGAGGGGTGGGTAGAGGGCTCACTGCCTTCCTCAAATCTGCTACATTTTTTTTTTTTTTACAAGACCCCGGAAAACTCTCCTTCCCCCAACACCATGAACACCGAGCTTGCACACTGGGGACCTGCCCCAGTGTGGGGTCAGGGGAGTGGGTTAATGCACTTTGGAAAGTAGGGGGGGGAGGCTACTTGATTGAGTCCCGCAGTTTCCCACAGCCCCGGGGGCCCCTGTGGAGCCCGCGGCAAAAGAGAAATGGCCCCCTTGAGATCCAGCTGATCTGTACTGGGCGGGCACTTGTCACTCAGAAACGGAGATGCGGTTGAAGATGGGGAGTCGCCGGGGGGCTGCAGGCGGCTGCGGTGGCCCAAAAACCCCAGCCTCGAAGACAGGTGAGTCGGATCCCCCCAGGCTGCTGCCACTGCTGGCATATTCGTCAGGATCAGATCCCAGGGAGTGTGCAGAGGGGCTCCGAGCCAGGCCGCCTAAGGGCCCCCAGACGCTACTGGGGGTAGCCCTTCGGCAGGAGGGGCAACAGGCAGGAGTGGGGTCCCTTCGGGCCACCGGGGTCCCAGGGGCGGCGGAGAAGGCAGAGGGTGAAAGTGGAAGGTCCCCAGGTGGTGGTGGTGGGGAGCTGGAGGGAGAGAGAGAGCAGGACGACAGGGAAGGGCCTGGCAGGCCTGCTGGTGGTGGTGACGTTCGGCGGCCGGAGGGCAGGCCCGAGAAGCTGATGCTCTGGCGCAGCACATGGGGGTGGCCTGGGGCGGCCAGATCTTCGCTGGGGTTGTGGATGAAGTGGCAGCGTGAGCCGTAGGGGCAGCGGCCCTGGAGGTAGAACTTGTGGCAGAGTTCGGTCTTGTACTTGGGGTGGCGGCTGGCCTGGCGCAGCTCACCCAGACCGTGGGCAAACTGGCACTTGGCCCCATAGCGGCAGCGCCCACTCTCTGAGAAGGTCCGACATAGCTCAGTCTTGTACCGGGATGAGGTGGTGGGGGTTGCAGTAGGTGAGGTGGGTGAGGGCGACAGTTCAGGGCCTGGGCGGGGAGCCAGGGGGGCGAAGCCTGGGGGTGGCGGCACCCAGCCACAGCTTCGACCCTCCACCAGGCTGGTGGAGCGGCCAGGCAGGCGGGCACCCACCCCAGCCAGGCTGCTGTCGGATGAGCTGAGGCTCCAGAGCCTGGAGGAGGCCCAGCCTGGGCTGGACTCGGTCTCTCCGTTGTCAGATGGTAGGTCAGGGCTCAGCGACAGGAGGCTCTGTGGGAACAAGGATTGTTTAAGACACCGAAAATGCTGGGTGACGCCCCACCACAGCTGGAGGGCACCTAAGAGCCTGCCAGTCCGGTTTGTGGGCTTCCCGGCCTGAGCCCCACCTGCCCACATTAAAATATGGGTGCCGGATCGCGGGAATCCCGATTTGGGCGTTCTGAGTTTATTCGCGACAGAAGCCTATCCCGAGGGACCTAGGAAGGCACCCCGGCTCCCCCGACCGGATCAAGAGGAGACCCTCAAAGTCAGACACCACCACTGTCCTCCCAATTTCGAGCCTCTGGGCCCCTCGGGATCTGACCCCGCGCATGGGGTTCTCCAGTTTCACAACTGGAGAAGCATGCAAACTTAACCCAGGACTCGGGATCTCTTCGGTTTTAGAGTTCCCAGAGTTCTCCGCTGGGTCAAGGGGTGGAGAGACAGAAGTTGGCTTCCCCTCACCCCGAGACTCCAACCCCAGAGACGCCTCCGCGCAAAACCGCGCCCTCAGCAACTGCTAGGGGGTAAGCCAGGTGTGGGGCCATTTCCGCCTCCAGACAGCCGGAGTCTGAAAAAAGTCCTCCAACTTTCCATCTCCGAGGGCCACCCCACCAATGTTGCGCCGGAGACCCGAAGTCGCGAGCTCCATTTGCACCTCCCGAGACTCGCACTGGTCTGAAAAGGGAGACAGGGACCCCGGGCCGGAGTGTGCGACTCTTCCTAGCTGCAGTTTGAGAAGGGAGCCGGAGGTCCCTGGCCGGACTTTTCGGCGCTAGAGAGCCCTAGTTTAAGGAGGGAGTCAAGCCAGCGGACCCCGGGGGTGTCGTTCGGCGGGGCTCACCTCGTAGATGGCGGTGAGATCCATGGCGGCGCGAAAGGCCGATGGGCTGCGGAGTCGGCCAAAACTGGGAGCGCTGAAGTCAGGCTGCGGTTGGCCGGCGGAGCCGGGGGGTTTTTATAGAGGCGGTGGAGGCGGGGCCAGCGGGGCGGGCCCGGGTGGGTGGGGCCAGGAGGGGCGCTTCCCGGACGCGCGCCCCCAGCCAGGCCCTCTGGGCCCCCGGCCCCCGGCCAAGACGAACCGGAGCCCGCCCCGCGGGCGGCCCCGACCCAGCGGGGAGTGCCCAGGGTTGGGAGGGGGGTGGGGGTGGGGGTGGGGTGGTGTCGGCCCAGTTTTCAAGGCTGGAGACGGAGGCGTGGAGAATCGAACTGCGCCGTGGTGGGGGCAGGGCTCCCGGGGGAATTGACACGGGCTGAGGCCAAGAGGGCGTGCGCGGGAGAGGCGGACGGGGGCGGGGAGAGACGTGGGGAGAGAGAGAGAGAGAGACCGAAATGGAGAGACCCAAAGAGAAAAACACACAGAGAGACAGACGTGGAGGGAGAGACACACGCTGGGAGACATAGACCCAGAGGGTGAGACAGGGCAGGGAGAGAAGAAGTTGGGAGACAGAGAAGAAGACATGTTAGAGACAATTCCAGAGAGACAAACTCGAAGCGGGAAGCGAGAGGGAGGGCCACATAAACAGAAAAAGAGGGAGAAACAAACACCTACAAACAGAAATCCGTAGGAGCAACACCGAGAGGAGACCAACAGGCTGGGTGGGGAATTCTGAGACCTACCCGCCTGGCTGGGTCTCACCCCCAAACAGCCCAGATCCGGAGACCTTTGATCGCTCGCCATACCCCTACCCCGACTCGCGGGGGGCGTGGGGCCCGGGATACCTGGAGAGGCGGGAAGGGATCCTCTCATGCTCACGCAGATAAAGAATGGCACTTCTGATCGTTCCGTCTGGGCTAAGCACTGTTCTATGAAAGTGCTTTACATACATTAACTCAAGGGCGTTATTATGCCCATTTTACGCACCAGGAAACCCAGGCACAGAAAGGCCAAGTTACTCTCCTAGTGCCTGTTACTAAGAGTTTGCCCTCTGAGAAAACTCAAGATTGGAAACGGGGAGGTCTTTTGTTGTGGTGGAGGGTTGCCTGGATGGAAAGTCGTCTGGAGGCGGGAGAAATGGGTCATCCCCCCGACCGATGGTTGCAGGGGTGTCTTGTAAAGGGGTGTGCCTCGAGAGAACTCTTAATTTGCGGGGATTACGCCCCACGTTGGCAAGTTTGTGATTGTCACAGCCCTGAGTGACACTCTGTTACAGAGACCTGGGAAGAAAGTTTACTTTTAAGGGGATCTTGGTGAGCTGGCTGCCCTGAGTGAAAACCTGGGGGTAGAAATCATTGCCATGGAGTGCAGTTATAACGGTGGAAAGTTTATTTTTGCAAGCTGCGACCGCGGGCTCGTATTGAGGTGGGAAGAGTCGGCAGGCACACCGACTTGCCTCGTCGGACAGAGCTCGGGGGAATCCCTGGTGCGGCGCTTTCTGGGGCTGAGGGACCTTCCCGGCCAGTCCCGTGAGCTGGGCGGCTGCGGGCGGCTTTGGCACGGTTGCAGCCTCCCGCTCGCCCGTGACTCATTCGCAAGGGGCGGGGGAGGGGGGCTTCCTGGAAGCCGTGACGAGGAGGCTCGACCCGGACGCCCGGGTTCCTCTCTTGTAACCAGGGCTTGTGTCGCCTGTAAACACACAGCCTCGAGGACAACGGGAAAAAGGGGAAAGGGGAGGTGTCTGGTACCCGCCTCCCGGCTGGGCTCCAAATCCCTGTGCCGCTAATAGGACGGAGGCGGCGGGGAAACGGGAGGTGGGGAGACACCCCGGGGTCCCCGGAGTCTGGCTCGGCTATGGCCGCGATCCTGGAGGAGTTTCGATTCCCTAGGGACAGGGAGCATTTCCCAGCCCTGAGTCAGGCTGACCCCCTCCCCTCTCCTATCTGCTTAGTCATCGGCCCCGACAGCCGGGACGCTTGGGATTGGGCGACGCTCGAAGAGGCTGGAGAGGGAGCTTTGCGCGGGGAAGGGCCGATCCTCCACGGAAATGCAGACGGGTGGGACCCCGGGCCCCGGGCCTCGGCCCCTCCTTGCTCAGCTCTAGGAGTGCGGATCTCCAAACCACCTCTCTGCTCAGATCCAGGAGACCGGGCCTCCAGCCCCTCCTACGTCAGACCCCCCCCCAAGTCCGAGCCCCCAGCCTCTCCCCCCTCTCCCATCTAGGAGTCTGGCTCCCATCCCCCTTCCCACCCCGTCCAGGCCCCAGACACCCAGCCCGGGAGGAAGTTCAGGGCAGGACTCCTCCCCGCTCCCCACGTAGCCAGCGGGAAAATCCGTGGCCCCAGCGGCGGCCGGGAATCCCCTCTGGAATGACGGTGGGGAAGGGGATGGCCGGGGTCCCCCGCGGGGTGCAGGGGGGTAGCTCCTGGGCGGGCAGAGCGAGGAGGAAAGGGGCGGAAACCAGTGCGGCTAAAAATACGGCGGGCACTTCCGGCCTAGGGGGAGGGGAACGGCGAGCAGAGTTTCCAGAAAAACAAGCGGGGACGGGAAACGCGGGGGTGTGAGAGTCGGTGCGAGTGCGCGGGCGAGCCGGGGAGCGTGTCCTCGCGGCACGTGTGCGCGCCTGGCGTGCCTGGGCGCGAGCGGGCGCGGCCGAGCGTGCAACTGCGTGGGCCAGCGGTGGGGGGCAGGGGGGGACCGGGTCCGACGTTGTGTGGCAGTGTGTGTGTGTGTGTGTGTGTGTGTGTACTGCAGGTGCGAGCGTGTGTGCCCCGGCGTGGCTGGGTGCACAGTTAGGGGAGGTAGGTGTGGGACACGAGGGTGCGCGCCCCGTTTCCTGTGTGAGGGCTGTGCCCTTCCAGTCCCGCCCGCCACGGCTGTGTGAATACATGTGTGAAACCACCTGCACTTGTGCGGGTGACTCTACTGTTTACTTTAGCCATCTCTGCGTGTGGGAGTGTGTACTCAACTGCAGTTGTCTTCGAGGTGGCCGTCACAGGAACGTGTGACTTGCATACCTACACGCACATCTGCGGAGCGCTGAACCACTGTGGGCTCTGGAGTGACTGTGTGGAACTCCTTGAGGAGTGCCTGGTGAGGGCCTGGGTAGCCGGGCCTTCCGGCGGGCGGAGGACCTGTGAGCGCGACTCGGAAGCTGTGTGTGTGAGCACCTGTGTGACTGTAGGTAGTTGTGGCTGTGTGCATGGTCCCCACAGCTGCGCGTGTCGCGAATTAGTGTTTCCAAGTGTCTGTGTCCTTATTCGGGGTGAGGCTGAGAACACGGGGAGGCCACAGTCTGGATGAGGTTCCTCTGAGGCCCAGTCACAAGGCAGTGAAACTGGTGAACTTCGGTTCCTGACGTCTACAGCGCACATGATGGGGAGGGCGGCTGGTCACTGTTCGCCGCCTCCATGGGCAGAGCCGAGACACACACGCACACACTTGTACCTGAGAAGCATTATCTATCCCCAGCTAAGGCTGCTTTCGATAATGTTGAGCTGAGGGTAGGGCTGAGTCAGCCTGTGATGGGCAAAGTCTGCGATGGGGTGAAAGATAGAGGGTTAAATGGTGATTAGAGTTGTTTGTATATTCATGTGGTTGGATTGCTCCTTTAGGGTTTGTGGGACTGTCACTGGACCGGAGATCCTGGGGACACCATGATTGTAGGGCGGTGGGTTAAGCTGTTCTCTGCATGGTCTCTTGTGCCCTGTGTGGCTGTGGTTCTCATGTACACCTTTCCCTGGAGTATGTGGTTGTGCACCAGGCTGTATAATCTCCCTCTGGGTCTAATAATCTAGTAAAAATCTCCGCTAAAGTCCTTTGTGACCTGTGTGAACTTCTACCCCTGTCCCTGTGCTGTGGTCCAGGCCTCCACACTGTCCCATAAACACATCAGCACATTCCTGCCTCAGGGCCTTTGCGCCGGCCGCTCTCCTCCCTGGGATGCTCCTCCAAATGCCCACATGCAGTCTACTCCAGTACCACCTTCTCAGCAAGACCTTCGTGACCTCTGCCAAGGACTTTTCTTCCCCCAAAGTAAATCTTACCATCTATTTGACAAGTAATATGTGTAACATCTATTTACAGACTATAATAATGATGAATACCCACGGACCACTACGCAACCTAAGCTCTCAAACTTTTTTTTTTAAACAAAGTAACATAATTCTTCAACTGCATATCTTGCATTTGTGTCAGACTTATTCCCGTGGACAGTGTCTTCAGCTAGTGCCCGAGAGAGAGACAGAGAGAGAGAGAGGTCTGTTACCCTTCGTGGGGGCCTGCCCTGCATGCCTGTCACTTCAAGAAAGGAACTTTCTGGGATGTGTACACACACATACACACATACACACACACAGAGGGGCTGGCCATTTCCCAGGACTCCTGTGTGGGGACTCGGGCTCTGGGTGAATCACAGGTCTCCACAGTCCCAGGCTTTCCTTGCAGACGTGGGGTCCGGGACAGGACGCCTCTGGGTGGCAAGATGGGAACCAGGGCACAGAAGGTGTTGGGTGGGGCAGTCCCGCAACCAAGCTGACTCACTTGAGCCTTTCACACCCCAACAGCTGGGCCTGGGCTGGTAGCTCCGCCTTGTACTTGCCCAGGCCTGAAAGCCAAGCCTGAGCTCCCAAAGCTCGCTCTCAGAGAAGAGAGGGAGCCCGGTGGGCCACCCTTCCCTGAAGCCCCCTCCCCAAGGCCTGCTTCCCGGAGCTGGGGCCCAGGCGCCTGGGTTCTTCCCCAGGACTGATGATTCACCCCTGCTAGGGCCTTTTCACTTCTCCTTTGGGGCTAAAAATACAGGGACCCAGGCATCCAGCTGGGCTAGGCTTCACCACGGATTGCACAATGCCCCTTGTCTGAATGCTGCTGACGCAGGCTCTGGGTTGGGGTGGGGGAATGAGTTGCTCTCAGACCAGGCATGCTGAGGTCAGGGCCTAGAACCCCTTCACTTCCCCTTTCCTGGGCTGAGGACCTGGGGGCTGGGCTGACATGGGAGGTGCTGGGTCCAGGGGATCCCTGGACTTGGCCGTGGCCCCTGGAAATGCAACTTCTTCCCCTAGCCCCAGGTAGCCTAGGGGTCTGGCTCCCGGAATCTGGCCCCCTTCAAAACAGAGTCCCACTTAGGAACTGGCGGCAGAAGAGAGCAAAAGGGGACTAAGACAGAGATGGTCAGAGACAGGGAGACAGGACCACAGAGGCAGAGAGACAGGGACAGAAAGAGACCAAATGAGAGACAGACAACAGACCCATACCTTAGAAACACAGAGAGACAGCTAGAAAAAGGAGCAACCACAGAGAGACCATCCCCCTAACAGAATCCAGAAGGACTGAGGGAGAGAGGCAGGTCAGGGCTCTTTGCTCAGGCCAAGCTGGGGGAGAGCCTCTGGAAGAGGTCATCAACAGGCAGTCCAAAGTGCATCCCGGCTAGGCAGGACAGCGGGGGGGGGGGGGGGGAGCGGCGAGGCCCCGCCCTGCGTGCTCCCTGCTGGCCTCTGCTGCCCCCTGCTGGCTCCAGCCACAGGGCTCAGGCGCGAAGAAGAGGCAGAGACCAGGCTGCTTTGAGGTCACTCTTCATTCCCTCCCCGCCCCCTTCCCGAGCAGCCTGCCCACTCCCAGCCCTGCCAGCTCACAGGGTGCCCCCAGGGCCTGTAGGTGGTGCAGGCGTCTTGCCCGTGACCTTGTTGGCGCAGTCCAGGAGAGCAGTGTGAATGTCCTTGGCACAGGCAATCTGGGCTTTGATGACCGCCAGGTACTGTGGGTAGGGCAGGCTGTCCGGCTGCACGGCGTCCGGTTTGGTGGCCGTGGGCACCAGAGTTGGAGAGTGCTTGGCGCTGTCGCAACTCTGGGACAGGCACTCATGGGCCAGGCGCTGTGGATGGGCAGGCAAGGTGCGGCATCAGTGTCACTCCCGGGGCTCCCAACCCCACCCCAAGGGCCAGCCTTGGGTAGCCTGCTTGGCCTCTGGACTCCCAGGGGCTTGGAGTCAGAGCCTGGCCCTGCCAACCACGTGCTGGGTGACCCTGAGGCATGCGGCTGCTTCGCTCTGAGTCTTTTTCCTTCTTTGGAAAACAAAATGGGTTTAATCACTGCCTTTGCTACCTCATCGGGTGAGAGTGGCGAGAAGAGCGAGAGAGACAGCCAGAGATCCTAGCACATCACGGAGTGAGTGTCAGCTGCCGGTGCCGGGACTGTCCTAACTCCAGCCTTGACCCTGGCAGTGACTTCTCCGATGACACTCCTGGTTTTCCTCCTCCTCCTCTGGCTGCTCTGTCTAGTTCCTGCTTACTCTGCCCAAGCCCTAAGTGAGGCACTTCCCAGGCCTCAGCTCCTCTCGTGCTCATGGCCCCTCACGGCTGCCCCACCCATACGCACCACTCCGCTCTCACCTCTGCAGTGACACCACCACACCTGTGTCCCCAGCCTCCCCTGAAATCCCAGAGTTCTTCTACCCTCCCCACCAAACTGTTCCTCTTCCTCTTCCTGGGTCCCTATCGCAGGAAGGGCACTGCCATTCCAACTGGAGCCCTGGCCCTCATCCTGGAGACCGCTCCTTCCACGGTCTGGCAGCCCCATAGCCTGTACACAGAGCCTTCTGTGTAGCTTTCCCACCTGCTCTTCCCCAATTCCTCAGGGCCCTGTCCTGGTGCAGCCTAGCCCACCTGAATCCTGTCATGGTTGCCTCCTTGGCCTCTCAGCCTCCACTCTTGGCTCCTCTGACCCATCCTTCACTCGGCAGCCAAAGAATATAGCAGCCATATTCCTAAAAAAGCCAGCAGGTCCACGTTCTTCCCTGCTTAAACTCCTCCACTGCTCCCCAGCACCCTCGGGGCTATATTCAAAATACAAGCAGCCCTGGGGCGCCTGGGTGGCTCAGTGGGTTAAGTGTCTAACTTCGAATCAGGTGATGATCTGGGGGCCCTGGGATTAAGCCCCACGTCAGACTCTACGCTCAGCGGGGAGCCTGCTTCTCTCTCCCTCTGCCCCTGCCCCCTGCCCCCGAATGTACATGTGCTCTCCCTCTCAAATAAATAAGAAATCTTAAAAAAAAAAAAAAAAAAAATTCCAACAAGCCCTAATGCCTGCTATACCTCAGCTAAACTGAATTTCGTGACATTCCTAAAGGGAAATTAAAGTAGAACCTGTTCCTCCTGGTTGGAACACCTTTTTGCCACCACCAGGCTTCTCAAATTCTGACTTTTCCTTCAAACCCCAGTTTATTTTTTTTTTAAATATTTATTTATTTGACAGAGACACACAGCGAGAGGGAACACAAGCAGGAGGAGTGGGAGAGGGAGAAGCAGGCTTCCTGCCGAGCAGGGAGCCTGACGTGGGGCTCGATCCCAGGACCCTGGGATCAGGACCTGAGCCGAAGGCAGATGCTTAACGACTGAGCCACCCAGAGGCCTCAAACCCCAGTTTAAAATAATGACGATGATGATGTCACTACAGGAAATGTTTGCCACGTGCTTAGTACCACGTTACGCTTTTTACATATATGATCTTGCCGTCTTTCCCCAAAATCCGTTTCTCAAAGGAGAAACCCGAAGCTCACAGGTAGAGACCGGTGGTCCATCCAGATTCCAGAGGCTGTGCTCTTAGCCACCTGCCCTCCTCGAAACTCCTGCCCCCTTCCATTTTTGCTCCAGTCTCAGCTCAGATGTGCTCTCTACCAGTAAACCTCTCTGAGCCACCCTCTCTTCTCCCTGCCCCACCCTAGGCAGAGTCGGGTGCCTTTTTGGGGCTTCCACAATCCCCTGAGCCTCCCTCATTTTAATCCTGACCCCTCCTCCTGTGCCTCCCCCATCATAGCCCTGACTTCTGTGGCCTGGGCTTTTCCTATTACAGCCCTGACCACTCTCAGCTGTCACCGTTTGGAGATGTATGTCACCCCACTGAACTGGAAGCTTAGTGAAGGCAAGGACTGCAGCAACACTGCGTCCCCAGCATCAGCTGAGGCACAAGTGTGGCCCCTAGGAGATGCCCAGTGTGTGCTGACTGACAGTTCCTGAAGACCTGGGGACTGAGGCAAGACTGTGGTCACCCAGTGTCTAGGCGGCCCCTTACCAGGCAGAGCTCCAGCTGGTCACAGAGTGCGTAGAACTCCTCCAGACACTTGTCAAAGCGCTGTATGGGTCCATCACTGCTCTTTCTATAGCCCAGGAGGAGAAGGTGACTGGAGAATGGATTTCCAATCTCCGAGACTTCAGTGTCTACCCAACCAAGTATCCATCAGGAAACCAAGTTTAGGCCCAGAAGGCCCAAGGCAGGGCCTAAGGGGCTGTTTTAGAAGAGGCAAAAGAGCAAGCCGGGTCGCTAAGGAGTGGGGCTTGAAAACAGAAGGAAGGGGGGTAGGTGGGTGGGGATCCGGGTATGAGGTTCTAAGACCGGGGAAAGGGGACTATACTCACTGTCCGTTGTCAATGTTAGTGTTCTGAATCAAGTTCTGGGCTGCAACCTTCATCAAGGTCTAGTTAAGGGGAAAAAAATGCAGAAAATAGAGAAACAGAAGGGGACACTTTTGATAGATCTACACTCTTAAGGTCTATTCAATTTCGGGGCGCCTGGGTGGCTCAGTCGGTTGAGTGTCTGCCTTTGGCTCGGGTCATGATCCCGGGATCCTGGGATGGGCCGGCGCTCGGCTCCCTGCTCAGCGGGGAGTCTGCTTCTCCCTCTGCCCCTCCCCCGCCCCCCTCATGCTTGCTCTCTCTCTCTCTGAAATAAGGAAAATCTTTAAAAATATATATATTCAATTTCAAGCTTCCTCTTCACTTGGCACCTCTCCTCCTGTCAATCCAGAGTAGCACCCATATTTTCCCAAAGGCCGGCTCTCACCTAGGGTTCTCCCAATAATCTCTCCGACATATCCTACAGTCCTCCCACATCCACCAATCACAGGCAGAATCTCTGTAGAGGCTAGTCCTTTCCTCAGGCTTTAACCACCAGAGCCTTGTTTTACCTTTAAACTCCCTCCCACTCGAGTTCCGGCCATTCCCAGGCCCAACATCCGTACTGATCCGCTCGCACTGTCGAGCCGCAGAGCTTCGCTTTGGCCTCATTAAGAGGACCAAATGTCATTCCGCTTTCCTGCCTAATGCTCCTTTGCGCTCTCCCAGACTAAAGAGCCCCTCCGCCCTCCCCCTTGGAATCAGAGAACCAAACCCCGCTAGCTTCTAGCAGCTCTCGGCCAATCACCTGTAGACTCTCCTTCAACTGCGGGATGAGCATCTTATAACGCTGCACCGGATCGAAGTCCTGTTGCTGTTGCTGCAAAAGCCCGCTCGGGGCAGGCCCCACCAGCTGTGCTGGTGGTTGCGCCTGCTGTTGCGGACCCGGGCCACCAGACGAACCCGGACCCGACACACCCGCAGCAGACGAAGCAGCTGCAGCCTGCTGCTGGGACGCAGCCATCTTTCTCAGTTTAGCGCACCGGAAGTGCGCCACAAGAGCGTCTCTCCTGGTTTCTTTTCAGCGTCCCTGTCTCCAGGCCCCGCTTGCTAGTTAGCTCCGCCTCCCAAATAACTCAGCCAACGGGAGGAAAGAATAACCGCCTCCCGGAGTTGACTCTCAAATAAAACGTCCAGATTGAGATACCGATTCGCCAATCACAAGAGGCTCTTCCTCCCTCGCTCCGCTCTTTACCCAGCCGTTTGCCAATCCGGGTGTGGGTCTAATCCGGACTCTATTTCCCAGAAGGCCTCGCGGCCTGAGGCGACCTGTCGGGTCCTCAGCGTCTTGGCGGCAGTTGGTGGAGCCGGAGCTGGGAGTCCGTCTTTGGCGCTGCCTGCGCGTTTAGCTGAGTCTCCACTGGAATTCTTCACCAGCCTACCTCCTTCCGACCCTACCTCGGCAGAGAGCGGCGCCAAACCGAGCCCTCTCTCGGATTAGGCGCTCGCCGACGTCGGTACACCCCTCCGCGTCTCGCCGCGGCTCAGGAAGGACCCCGTCCGGGCTTCCTTCGCCTTGTCGCCATGGCGCCCACCATCCAGACCCAGGCCCAGCGGGAGGATGGCCACAGGTAGGCGCCACGCCACCTGGCTGTACCGCTTTCGTCTAGGTCTATCCAGGTTTCGGCGAGGCGGGGGGTCGGGCGCGGGTGTCTTCCTACAACGTCACCAGCCCCCCGGGTCCGCCAGTGATGTCAAACCGTCGCCGCGAACGCCGTGACGTCACGCAGCGCTCACTTTTGACAGACAGGGGTGGGTTCCTTCAGGGATGGGGTGTTGCCCCCACCTCCCTGTCATGGAGTTCAGGGATTAAGCTCTTGGAAGACTGTCTAGAAGGGATTGTGCGTTTATTACTTCAGTCAGGCGTTTGGAGAACCCCTTTGCTAAAAGCAATTGAGCACGTAGTTCTATTAAAGCACATGAAGACGGTACCTCCAAAAGGGATTGAGCAGTTGGATTCATTCATGAAAGCGTTTGGAGACACTTTCTCTACAAGGAGTTGAATCCTAGGGTCCTTCCGTTAAAGTTCTTGGAGCACCCCTCCCAAAGGGATTACCGTTTGTCACCCCCTCCTTCCCTTCTTTAAAAGCTTGGAGACCCCCCCCCCTTAATTCTTCTGTCAATCCTGTTTTCTCCATCTTTCTGTCAATGTCTCTCTCTCTTACCTACCAGGCCCAATTCTCACCGGACTCTGCCTGAGAGGTGAGCCCCATTGGGGTTTCCCGGAAGGGGTGGACCAGTGGGGGCTGGGAGCAGAGGTGGGGCAGCAGGGGCTGGGTTTTGAGCCACTGTATTCCCAGGTCTGGAGTGGTCTGCCGAGTCAAGTATTGCAATAGCCTCCCGGACATTCCCTTCGACCCCAAGTTCATCACCTACCCCTTTGACCAGAACAGGTGAGACTGAGATGGAGGAGGGCGAAACAACTCAGATCATGAGTTCCTTGAGGGCAAGGATTGCTTCTTTTGTTGACTGCTCTCATCTCAGGGCCTAGAACGGTACCTACCAATATGGTAGTAGGTGCTCCATAAACATTTGTTAACGAATGAAACAAGCAGTGTCCAAGTCTTTTCCCACTGAAGAGCCAGCCTTCTGACTCCAACATGGGGGGACACTCCCAATTTGAGTTCCTCCCTGGAAAAGCTTGGGCTCTGGGAAGCAGGAATGTGAAGGGTAAAGCTGGAATAAGGAAAATATAATGGGTATGTTTCCCCACCCAGGTTCGTCCAGTACAAAGCGACTTCCTTGGAAAAACAGCACAAACACGACCTCCTCACTGAGCCAGACCTGGGGGTCACCATTGATCTCATCAACCCCGATACCTACCGCATCGACCCCAACGGTGTGTGGGAAGGCAGGGAGGGCCTGCTCTACACCAGCAAAGGCCAGGCCCTCCCTCACAGCCCTCATAGTCCTCCTACCGCTTTGTTCTCCTCTAGTACTCCTAGATCCAGCTGATGAGAAGCTTTTGGAAGAGGAGATTCAGGCCCCCACAAGCTCCAAGAGGTGGGCGTGTGCTGAGTGGGGGCTGGAGATGGGGGGGGGGATCTATGATGGAAGGAGGGTGGTGGGTCCTAGGTGCCTAATACTCTACCCCCAGATCCCAGCAGCATGCAAAGGTGGTGCCGTGGATGCGGAAGACTGAGTACATCTCCACTGAGTTCAATCGTTATGGCATCTCCAACGAGAAGCCTGAGGTCAAGTAAGTTGTGGTGGGTAGGGAGGGAAAGTGGAGATTTCAGGTGTGTCCAGTGATCCCTAAAGGCCTCCCTCTTTTACTCCTAGGATTGGGGTTTCTGTGAAGCAGCAGTTCACGGAGGAAGAAATATACAAAGACAGGGATAGCCAGATCACAGCCATTGAGAAAACTTTTGAGGATGCCCAGAAATCGGTATTTGAAGGACTGGGATGGGATGGGGGTTGGGGGCAGACCAAGGTGCAGTTCCAGAGCTCCGCATCCTCCTCACCCACCCTGTTTTTGCCCCCACCAGATCTCCCAGCATTACAGCAAGCCACGAGTGACACCGGTGGAGGTCATGCCTGTCTTCCCAGACTTTAAGGTCAGATCCAGGGCAGGAGGCAGCAAGGGATAGCCTGCCATCTCTGTTTGTCCCAGTCTAATCCCAGTGCTCTTGCCCCTAGATGTGGATCAACCCATGTGCTCAGGTAATTTTTGACTCCGACCCAGCCCCCAAGGACACGAGTGGTGCAGCTGCTTTGGAGATGATGTCTCAGGCCATGATCAGGTAAGTAAGTGGCCCCATTGCCCACCTTGGCCTGTTCCTCACTGCTCCTTTGTCCTCACTCTTCACCATTCCTCCTCTTCTCCCATCCAGAGGCATGATGGATGAGGAAGGGAACCAGTTTGTGGCCTATTTCCTGCCTGTGGAAGAGACGCTGAAGAAACGAAAGCGGGACCAGGAGGAGGAGATGGACTATGCACCGGATGATGTGTGCGTGGGTTGGGATTAGGTTTTGGGAATCGAGGACTGGCTCTCCCTTTTCTCCCTTAGAAGAAAGAAATGGGGCTGCTGACCTTGTTCCCCTCGTCCTCATCAGGTACGACTATAAGATCGCTCGGGAGTACAACTGGAACGTGAAGAACAAAGCTAGCAAGGGCTACGAGGAGAACTACTTCTTCATCTTCCGGGAGGGTGACGGGGTTTACTACAATGAACTGGAAACCAGGTACTTGGTACACCCCTACCTCAGATTAGCCTGGGCCTGTGCTTTAGAATCCTGAGCCTAGGGTACGCAGGAACCACCTTGGAGGTCATTTGGAGGCCTTGGAGGCGTTTCAAACAAGAATAGAAGCAGCTTGCTTGAGCATGTGAGCTGGACCTGGTTCTAACACACGAACCCAGGAAAAAAATCTCGAGATTGAGCTTCTTTGTAGGGTGAATAGCCAAGTTCCCTCCGATGTAATAAGAGACTTCATGTGAAAGTCAGCATAGGCGGAATACGGAGTAATACATCAAATGAGCGTAAATATTTCAAATGAAATCCTGGATACCCGAGTTAAAAAAGGTGACCCCCACAAACTTTCTCCTGAGAGCTGGAAGTTTACTCCTGTGCTAGGGACCTTGGTGTATGTAAAGGTTGGGAAAGAAAGTGTGACCTTGAGTTTGTTTAAAGCAGAGATCACAAATTCTGATCCCATGTAAAAGGTAGCACTGTGGGCTGGTGGGCTCTGGGTGACCTGGAGCTCTTGGCAGCCTCCAAGGGGCACCATGACCTAGCCCAGCAAAGGGCTCCAACCTATTGTTGCTATTCTATGGGAAGGAAAAGTCCCAGTGGAGCCACAGATTAACATTTTCCGAAAGCCAGCAATCTAGGTTCTATGCTTTTAAGTGTTGCTAATTCACCTTAAATCTGTTACATATACGTAACACTGTGTGTGTGTGTACATTTTATAAATACGTCGGACTCATGAAGCTATTAACCTTCCCTTTCCCTTATCCAACCTCTGAGTTTAGTTTCCTTCATTCAACTTGCATTTATTCTGGTCTGTTTTGGACTAAGCATTGGTGAGGAAGTAAGAACCAAGTTAGAGTAGATCCCCCACTGGGGTCTTTAAAATATGCATCTTCCACACACCCCTCCCCACCAACCTGCCCACTGCAGGGTCCGCCTGAGTAAACGTCGGGCAAAGGCTGGGGTTCAGTCTGGCACCAATGCCCTGCTTGTGGTCAAACACCGGGACATGAATGAGAAGGAATTAGAAGCCCAGGTAACAAACATCACTGGCTGGCCCAGGGCACCCGTGGAGAGGGTGGGGGTGGGTGAGGAGAGAGACAGAAGCCTGACAGAACATCCTCCTTCCCCTCGACCCTGCTGCTTCTAGGAGGCACGGAAGGCCCAGCTGGAGAACCATGAACCCGAGGAGGAAGAGGAAGAAGAGATGGAGACAGAAGAGAAAGAAGCTGGGGGCTCAGGTAAAGCTGGACAGGCCAAATCCCAGGAGCTCTGGAAGGGTGGGAAACTGGGTCTCACTTCTCCCTACTCCCTCACAGATGAGGAGCGAGAGAAAGGCAGCAGCAGTGAGAAGGAAGGCAGCGAGGATGAGCGCTCGGGCAGCGAGAGTGAACGTGAAGAGGGTGACAGGGATGAGGCGAGTGACAAGAGTGGTAGCGGTGAGGATGAGAGCAGCGAGGACGAGGCCCGGGCCGCTCGGGACAAAGAGGAGATCTTTGGCAGTGATGCGGATTCGGAAGACGATGCGGATTCTGATGATGAGGACAGAGGCCAGGCCCGTGGCAGTGACAATGACTCGGACAGTGGCAGCGATGGGGGTGGCCAGCGGAGCCGGAGCCGCAGTGCCAGTCCCTTCCCCAGTGGCAGTGAGCACTCCGCCCAGGAGGATGGCAGTGAAGCTGCAGCTTCCGATTCCAGTGAAGCCGACAGTGACAGTGACTGAGTCTCAGGTCCTTCAGGGTTGGTGCAGACATGATTATAATGCGATTGCTATGCGCAGGAAGGCACTTTTCGAGTGGTCTATTGGCGAGCCCTTTCCCTTTGTTTCCTTCGTCTCCTCCAAGCCTTGCTGTTAATAAAACCGACTTTTTTCCCTTTATGTCCCATCCCAGCCCTGTGGTCTCATTTGCTTTATACCTCTCCTCCCCCCACCCCCCCTTCCCAGGAGCTCCGTGGCTTCAGCTTAAGGCCACTAGGTTTTCCCTGAAGTGTAGCATAACAAAGGTCAGAATCCTTTTTTGTTTTTGTTTCTTGTTTTTTTTTTTTTTTTCCAAAATAAGCCCA